TTGAATAATTTTTTTCATTTAAAATTCCACAAAATGTGGCTTCCCCCTTCCACTCGTTCTACAGGCGGCTAAATTCCAGTTAAACAAACAAAAAATAAAAGGCATTCATGCCGCAGAAAATAAAATTCACCCCGTCGACTTGATGGACACCCCCATTGCATATGGCGCCCTCCCTCTCTTGGGGTGAAGTACTACGTTGCCGCTGCGGTCACTCCAACCCCCAAAACTGACCCTCTACTTCAATCAATCCTCTTTGACTCGACTGATGCTCAGTCATACATCAATGTTTATAAATATTTCCTCTATTTCTTAATAACTCGAGGCGAAAGGTGAGGCTTGTAAATTAGTAGAAGAAATTATTCATGTCATAAATAATTTATTTGAATTTTTTATTTTATTATCCAGGTCTCATTAACAAAACTCCAGAGTCGCCTGAGCTCCATGAGCACAGGTTACCGGGCCCTTATTTCTAGACATTTATTCCAATGGAAATCCTCGTCAGATCGTGAAAACAGTGCAATTAAATTAATTGTTGTAACAATGTCAGCACCACGAGCTCTACCTCAAAGTAAAGAAGCTTTACTTAAATCCTATACAACGAGACTGAAAGACGACGTGAAATCCATGCTGGAGAATTTTGAAGGTTCGTACTAACCTCCTCCATTGTTTTCCTCTTAAAACACCCCAGATTTCTCATTAAAACTATTTTTTCATCACTCCAACTCGATCAGACCTCTAAATTAATCACAAACTTCCTAATTACAATCAGAAAATGATAAATTATCATTCAACACTAAAGTAAAAATTAATAATTAAACTTCAAATTATCCCAATGAATTAATTTAATTATATAATGATTTCCCGATTTTTTTGGGTGAATGAATGGTTCAGATCCACCAAAAATTATAAACAAATGAATTTTTTAACATTTACAACAATTAATTTCCATGGCTTTCCACATTTTTCTCTTATCGTTATGATTTTTTGAGGAATGAATAACAATAAATAAAAAGATTTACAAATTCTTTCAGAGATAATAAAATTGGCGAAAGGAGAAAATGACTCACAGTTGTCCAGGATGACCCAATGTGAGCAGGACACATACGAGATGCATGTGAGGGCTGCAAATATCGTGAGAGCTGGTGAATCCCTCATGAAACTAGTCTCCGACATCAAGCAGTACCTTATCCTCAATGATTTTCCTTCTGTCAATGATGCCATCGCCACCAACAGTAAATTGTTCAGACAGAAACAAGCTGAGTGCGATCAGAAACTCGCAGCTCTCAGGGACGACATGGCAGCTGATCTCTATGATCTAGAAGAGGAATACTACACGTCGATTTATAAATGAACTGTGATTACTCATTATCAACGATTCACCTCAATTCCGATTTATCATCCATTTATCTCGAGAACCCTCTGCTTCACGAGAAAACGTCAAAGGACTTTTCAGTGAGGCCCGATATTTCCAAGAAAAAAGGTCTCTTGAGGTTTTATTGTAAAATCAATAGTTGTTGATTTATCAGTATTTAACAAAACTGGAAAAATCGAATTATTTTGGAGATTTGAATTATTTCTTTTCTCGATATTTAAGATCGATCTCTTCTGTATTATATAGGCATGATAAGCTGATAAATATAATTTTTGATATCACAATGGAGTTCTCATTTTGAATCCTTCAAATTTCCTTGGATAATATTTTTATTATTCTCCATAAACAATTTGTGAAATACTCTGAATATTGTATCGTGTCTAGAAAAATTTTAACGAATGAATTTCAGATCCAAAAAATAAGAATTGAGTCCCATCTTATCATTAATATTAATCACCATTTCATAAACCACTAGAAATTAATTAATCAATTCCTTTTATTAATAAAAAAAGACTGTTCAGTGATGGATAAAAATGATAAAAAATTTGTTTACATGTTCCTTTATTCTATTAACTTCCATTACACGAAGATTATATATCATTCAATATTCGGATCCAAGAGGGAAAATCCCCTGAATACGTAATCACTCGGTACATAAGTAGTTTCACAATAATTGAAAACTTACTCGAAATTCCATATCTCTAGAATCTACTCTTAACGATAAATACTACAAATGGGTATTCCTTTAATCATCCACTCTGACATTGAATCATTTATTTATCTCCCTCGCATTACCCTAGACATACTGTACAACAATAATTTACAAATTATAACCAAAACACATTCACAATATTTATATATAAGTTGAAATAGCGACAATTCCAATCATCAGAACGTCGCAGCAGTCTAAAAATATTAATTATCCTATTAGCTAGTGATAAAGCCAGATAAATCGAGCTGAACAGTTTTTATAAATCCATTTATCTCTGAAACTATCGACTTGACGAGAGAACACTTGAGAACTTTTTTGTTGCTGATTAGATTTCCAAGAAAAAAGATCTTTTCATGATTCCGATTAAAACCAATAGTTTAGAGGTTTTACAGGCTGTAAAGTTCGATTTCTCACTTTATCTTTTTGCTATTGATTTATTTTCAATCGGACTGGAGGGGAATGCAATTAGAAGTAGGACGAACGAAATAATTTTTCTCTAACGGATATATCACAATAATATAAATTAATAACAATACCTGGTAAAAAAATCGAACAGAACCAAATAAATAGTATAATTTTCATAATTTTTATAAATTTTCGGAAGTTCATTCAGCCAATAGTGAAGTTTTTGAGGAATATCTCGGAATCTAAGAGAGATACCGAAATTTGGGAGGAATTCTTTTTTGTAGATTTTAATTAGCTCCACAAAAAAGTTTCTGATAAAAAATCCGCTATCTCTCCGAGATTCGCAGATATGCCTCGAAAACTCGACTAGGGTACAAGTCTACTCGTTACCCGTTGCTTCTTCGCTTTTTAATTTTATTTCAATCGAGTTCAAACAAATTATAATATAGACTATTTCATGATTTCTTCAAGAGATCGTCTCTTCCAGAGACAAATCCAACTTATGAATAATTAAATAGCGAATTATTAAAGCGAGATAAATCGAATGTTTAATTTTTTTATCGAAAATACCGATTTATCTAAAAAAAATTATTGATTCGAGATCAATCGGTGATTAGGAAAGATGTAATTCAATTTCTCTCACGTTATCACTTCACCTATTAATTATTCATCTTCTCGAGTTAATAATGGAAAATCCTTATCCCGAGACTATAATAACTTATGGTATATACAAAATCCATCAGGCTACGGAGTACGATGGGAAAAATAGTTGCAAAAGCGTCTGGCAACTTTACAATTCTCCATTGACACCTTTCGATAATCGCAGTGTTTAAAAATTAATCGAATATTATCAGAACACAACGATTTTTTGAGCAGCGGAGAAACAAATTCTCAAAAACAATCTTGGAAATTTGTTTTTGATGAATAGAATTTATCGTCCAATCAGTCGTTTCCACAATTCGATGATTTTTATATTTAATATCTCAATCTCTCGAGGAAAGTCTGAATTTTTGTTTTGAAAATCCCCTGGGGTTTCACAAATACTCTAAAACCCTAAAATTCGTACAAATTTCGGCACACGATCGTGATAAAAAATCGTAGAAAAACATATTTGATTTATTCTCGATTATAAACTTTACAACTTGCCTTGAAAGGACAATGCGATGATTTGAAATCGATTAAATTCTGAATCACGATTTTCCCCTGAATTTTAGGATTTGTTCTCCACGTGATCGGTCTCGATGGCCTAGAATCTAAATAGAAAATTCAGTTATCTCCAATCGATAGAAAACGAGAGTTGATTTTTGGCAGTTTAGTCGTTTCTCTCACGAAAAATACTTTTATTTCTGAAAGGTTGAACCCTCGAGGTGGATTTTACCTCATGGAATGCATTTCGTTAAATACCGCACGTATGAGAAAAATAGACAATCCTTGCGATTTCTCTAAGAAATTCTCTCCAATTTTTTCAGCATTATAATTCTAATTAAAAATTCAATTAGCATTTCTCTCATGTTTCAATTCATATTCTGTAAAACGCCCAATAATTCATTAATTTCTAATTTGAATTGAAACATTGAATTGAAAATTGTAGAACAAATCGATTAATCGATCTGTCGAGAGTTTTCTCTAAATAAATTCTTTCAGAATTGATTCATTGATTTGTAATTGAATGTCTATTGATCGATGAATTTGTTTATTCTGTATAATTCAAACCAATAGAATTTATTATAGAAAAAAACAATTAGACGATCGATTAATCGATTTATAGAATCCATGGATATTTTTCAATTGTTTAATATTAAATAATACGAAAAATTTGTATAATTTCCTATAAAAATAGCGTAAGAAACTGAGGATTTTTTAATTAGAATTCCAATAGAATTCCCGGAATTCTTGTGGACGTCGAATAATAATTAAATAAAATCGCTTAGTGAGCGGTTTTTCTATAATTTTTTTCATGCGTGTTGTTTGATTCTGGAGCGAATATAATCGATCGTATTGAGTAAAATCGATACCTCACGGAGGAATGAAGGAATTTTGAGCCCCAGTGAAGCGTAAAAGTTCCTCTAGCATGAAGAAAAGATGTTTATCCTCCCGGGAAACGTGGGAATTCTCTCAGTGAACTGGAATTTCACCGATGATTCATTTCGATTGAATGAATATTAGTAGAGCAGATCAGTATAGGAGATCAGCAGTGGCTTCAGCCCCCCAGGCAGCCTCGGTGGAGTCCCCCAGGTGTTCCTGTGTTCCTCCATCTGTCGTGCTATCCTCTGTCTCCCATTGCTGACCACTTCCGGTGGTCGGTGGGTGGACAGATCTCGTGATGCCCAATTCAAATCCATCGGATGTCAGGTCGACTTTGCTCGGTGTATAACTCGCCAGACCACCTCCACCTGCAGGAAAATAGAACAATGGAAATAATGGAGATTAAATAAATTCAGTGAAGAGAGTACGAATTTTTTTACAAATAATTCGCTATATTTCTGATAATCTCTGATGATGATACTCCAGAGGATGATTATGTTGCATATGACCTTGAATCAACTCCTCCAATGATTACTCATTATTTTCGAAATTCCGTATTTTCTTGAGAGAAAAATTACGATTATTTTATTGAATATTAATAATTGAAAATTCCCTGGAAATTATTCCACTGGAGAAACATTTTTATTGTTTATTTATTTCCATTCGAATTAAAGTTCGAAATTTAATTCCACAGATCAATTAATTCCTGATTGAGTTATTGTTTCTAATTGCAAATTTATTGTGAGCAATAAATATGAGTGAAGACTCCATCAACAGAAAATTTATACTAAAAAAAAAATTATATTGCGAGAACAACTCCAGGAGCTAGTCAACGGTAGAATGAGTTGAGAGGAAGGAGATAATTTAGTATTGTGGAAGTAGTCTTTATCGACAGGTGGATACACAATAAAATAAAGGCATTCGAAGGAAACTCTTCAATTGGACAGTGAAGGAAGGGAAGTGGTGATAGAAGCGGAAGTTCTGTTGGTTTTATTTCACGATTTACACTTTTTACTCGAGTTTTCTATAAAATTGATGTTTCCCATCAACAACCCGGTGATTTCATATACATTCACCTCGTAAAATACTTGAAAACCCCTCGCCATTCAGAATAACGAGACTAAAAAGATAAAAAAATCCCCATCAGCCCGAGGAGTTGACTTTGATATCGCATTTAACTATTACTAAAAGGAATATTAACTGCAAAAATATTCCGTCTAAATATCTTCCATAATATTAATATTCTCCGCAATATTTTTTATCGTAATTATTCGTCATAATTACTTTACACTCAATAATTGATAATTAATATTTTGCTCTTCCTACACTCGTAATTAAATAATTAAAATAATAATCGATATAATATTTTGACTTTTGCACGGATAAAGTGACTTTTTTCAAATTCAATTTCTCCATTGATCAATCATTAATTTAAAGAATGTTTAAATACGAGAAATTGGAGCGAAAAGACAACAATGGTTTTTAAATTAGAAATAATTCACTCACTGAGAATGGGAGAGGCAGAATTCCCCGTCGAACACGTGGATTTGTTGCTAACAGATGATTGATAATCATCAGCAGATCCTGCAGATGTTTCCCCACTGGCATCATCTTCTAGCATCGAAGCTTCACTGGGATATTCAAATGTTCTGGTAGCATCATCATTAAACTGTATCCGATTCTGCAACAAAAATCCAACAATAAGATTTCCCATAAATAATTACAACCAATTAATAAATTCATTAATTTCCTATCGCGATTGCATCACAAATAAAACATCCGCAGGTTAAAAATTTTTAATCATAACCCAGATAAATGACAAATACCTTAATTGAAATAAAAATAAAAATCGCTTTCCCTAGGTATCACTAGTCTGTTCTGATCTCAATCATCCGGGCTTATCCGGTCATTTAATTTCGTCAGCTTTTCCAAAACAGATACGAACATCCATGGCTCGTGACCACGAACAATCGTGTGGCCTTGACCATATTTTAACGTTCACCGATGAATCCCTTGGTTTTTTATCTTGTTTTAATAAATTTTGGTGAACATGTGCGGGAGATAATGCTCAGAGGGAGATGAGGATTGCTGACGGCACGGTATGTAACCGCAAATAACAGTAACCGGTCACACTTGTTGAGTATCGAACTGGGGAACAACACCAACGTCATCCTGATGCCACGTTGCTAATATGAATACCACGAGGAAACAACTAGCTTCTCTGATTTTTTATCGTCAGTTATGAAAATCGTGTGCCTCAAGATTAAATCCCCAGAAATTACAAAATCAAACAATTGAGATATTATCTAATATGTTATTAATATGTTAAACAACTTTAAAAAATATTCATTGAACTTTCGATTTAGATTTAAGGCCCGGATGGACTGCCTGGAAAAGATAATTTCCTCCGAAATTGGGACTTCTAATTACTCCGTCAATTAATCGTTTTTTCCGATAATTGTTAGCTAGCGGCGTAGTTGTTGATAATCGCTGGAACGCTAGCTAACAATTATTGAAAAAACGATTAATTGCCAAAGTAATTAGGAATCCAAATTTCGGAGTAAATTATCTTTTCTAGATAATCCACCCGAGTCTTAACATTAATTAAAAATAATATTTAAATAACGGTAACTAATCTGATTAATAAATAATAATAATCTAATTCTCAAATGGAATTATCAGATTTATTTATTATTTATTCGTTTGTAAAATATTATTTGAAGGAATGCCGCAGTGAAATATCAAGAAATGTAATTTTTCATTTTTTATATAAATCATGGATATTTAATTATAATTATCATTATTTATTGATTAATGTAGGTTTTCAGAATTTCCACGAGAAAAACTAGCAACTCGTTTTTTCCGGAAACCTTCGCAGAACTCCGCGGAAATTTTCCTGGAAGTTTATCCGTTTATATTTATTCCTGAAGTGGAAAGATAAAGAAGATCTCGAGAGATGATTTTTAGTCGTCAATCTAAAGACTTTCAACGTCAACTTTCATCCCACCGACGTGAGAAAATCCAAAGTGATAACACATTATTCCACGATTTTTCCTGCCCTATCAGTAATCTCCATTATCTCGTTTGTGATATAATCGTAACCCCGAGAGTATTTCTGAAGAATTAATAAACAGGTGGGGATGATCTGCCCAATGCCATCCCAGAATCAATTTTTTCCGGTATTCATTACCTGAGATGACATTCGCGCAGCAGAACTGGCACAAACTAGCCATTAGTATTCCGATTGACGACTTTCCTCATTTTTTTTTCTTCAAGAAGTGAGAAGTCACGTATGAAGAAATTTCGTAGAAAAACTCGTTGCACCACTGGAAGTCTAAGTTTTCTGTGGTCTGGAGACTATTGGACTAGTACTCTCCGTTTATCGATGAATATTCTCTCGAAAAACTATTTATTGGGGGATTATTGATTTTATGTATTCGAAATTCCGTGAAATGTCGAAAATTCGAATTTTCGAATCATTGGGTCATTGATTTCCCTTTTTAAAAATTTTAATAAATTATTCCATTTGAACGTTGATTAATTCTACGAATCCTTAAGAATTGAATTCAATTGAAATTACATTTCAATGAAAATTATTTCAATAATTGATTTGAAATTCGCGGTTAAAACCAAAATTCTTTTCTTTTGAATTAATTTCCTAGAAACAAATAGATGAGTATTTAAAATAGAAAAAATGTACTGACAATATTAATTGCAAAAAAACCATGAGCTGAAATACTTTTCTGCCTATTCCTTATAATTTCTCGAAATCATCTGTATGAGCAATAAAATTGAAATTAAAAAAAATTGAAAAAAAAAAATTTTAATAAAAAAAAATTTTTAAAAATAATAAAAAATATTTTCTAGTTAGTAAATTCAGTTGTCTAATGAGATATTGTTATGAATGTGTAAGAAATTCCCCAGTGTGTGCTTTAACGAGAATACAGTATCATTTTCCAAGAATTTGCTGATACCTTGTGATTTCTCGGGGTCCTTATCAGATTACTGCGCCCATTAATCAAGACGTTGTCGTTCGTGAAGAGGACATCGCAGGGTGAAGGGGGTCCTCTGGACATTTCCCAATCGCCTTCATCAGTGGTCGAGGCATCCAAAGTGGCATCCAGGACGATAATCCCACCATCTCCCACCTGAAAATAAAAAAAAATTCAATACAAAATGAATTATCAAAAAAATCCATTATTCAAGAAATCAAAAACCAATTAAATAAATTCGTAATAAATTCGTAATAAATTCGTAATAAATTCTATTATCCCTTGAAAGAGAGTAAATAGAATGAAATTATTATTTTTAATAATAATAATCTGGATTATAATGAAAAATCGGGCGTTTCATTGAAGTTTCATTTGATTCGAGAAGAGTCAATTGAATAATTTTTCGCATTCGTAATAAATTCTATTATCGCCCGAAAGAGAGTAGATAGAATGAAATTATTATTTTTAACAATAATAATCTGGATTATAATGAAAAATCGGGAGTTTCATTGAAATTTCATTTGATTCGAGAAGAGTCAATTGAATAATTTTTCGCTGTTCCTCTGATCCTTTGGTAATTGAATACCTGTATTACATGGGATGGAGATAAAATTTGCAGTGCATAAAATTTGTAGAGGTAAACAGAACTCCACGACACAAACTGTATCCGGAAATTCTTCCAGATAGTTGAGCAAAGAGAGAGAATATTGTCGACCGAGCGTTTCTAAAAAGGGGATAACGGATCTCGAGAACTAAATTTCCATCTACAGGCTGGATCCCCGTAAGTTGCTCTACAACGGCCATATTCAACCGTGGATTCCACGTAATCAACTGGAATGCTGTTGATCAAGGCCGTTTTACCGTCCCCTCAGTCAATTTTTTCCATTTTTTCCATTCCCCATTAATTCCTTTTTGTTTTAAATCTCCAATTATTTTGACTGTTTCAAACGGAAAGTTGAGATAATTGTTGTTAAAATCGTGGAGGAATTTTCATCTGGATTCCTTGGAATCCGAGCTGAATCTCGCATTTTTTAATTGTTTACTAAGAAAATTATTTACTCGCCAATCAGTTTCAAGTAAATACCAATTTCGGTTGCAGTTCTGTTGAAATCCTAAAATTTCACAGATTCTACAGATTCCAATAAAAATGTAATTCTAATTTTAATTCAAACTCCATTATCGAATTCGATTAAAAATTCAATAAAATTTATTATTATTTATTTATCATTTTATTCATTCAGAATTCAGATTTCTAAAATTTTATTTAAATTCTACAGAAGTTGCATCTGTATTAACTATTAGAGTTCAATTAAAATGAAAATGATCTCCTATTAAAATCAATCGGATTTATACCAAAAAGTATTCGCGCGAAATTTAAAAATGTAATAATTCATAAATTTCGATAAGTTCCAGAAAAAAAAACCAACGACAAGAGGATGTGACACAGTTATTTATCTGCGGTCTCCTCACTAGTTATCTGTTGATAACTGAACATGACTCATCGATAAAATCATTACCCAGCTACCATACACTTTCCTTACAATTCATTTAATACAAAAACCTAGATGAAATCGAGAGTTTTGATTATCATGAGTGACGGACTTTGAATTGAAAGGTGAAGATCCGAGTGATGAGAGCCAAAAAAATTCAAAGAGATCGTTGAAATCCGAGGGGAGAATTAAATCCATCACTGGACGGTATTAATAAACAATCAGATATTAAATAATCACTGGAATCTACAGTGGAACGGTATTCTGATAAAAAAAATCGACTGTTCAATTATTTTCCTAGACTTTCAGAATTTCAATTTCTGAATTAATTATAATTAATCAATTAATTATATTATTATCATTATTTATTAATTAGTTTAGTTATAATGGAATTATAATTATCAGAAATTGATAAGAAATAATTCAGTTTGAAGAATATATTTTGAAAAATTCAAGTTTAAATGATTGATGGTAAAAAAAAATAAAATCTGTCATTCATATTTATTTATAAATAAAATGATGCTAATAATGTGGAATTAATTGATAATAATTATCAGATAATTATGAATTAATTGAGGAGTAATTAGAATGGATTTAATTGGGTAAGAATTTGTTTTAAGTGGAGAGCGTTGGGAGGTGGTGAAATAGTTGTTAAAAATGTCCTAAAACATGAATTCTCAGGATCCCTTGGTGTACTTGAATGAAGTACCTGCACCATTCCCAAGGTTAGACTCCATTAACGGTGCAGTAACGACCGGTCTGCCTCGAAAATTCCAGATTCCCCCTGAGGATTGGAATGCACCCGCCAACTCCACTGAGGAAATCATAAGCCCCCGGTATACACCGGAAAAAACGAGTTCCCATTGATCTCCACAATTCTGAGATCAACCGAGGTCGACAATGAGAAAGTTCCAAGGGATTGATCATTTTTGAAATTATGGAAATCGGATCAGTCCCATTACACATTTTTTTAAATTAATTATTCATTTTTTAACGGTAACGATCGCGATGAATTTATTTGTTTTGATGAATGAAAATTAGGCTGGAAAATGTCTGGAGACGATTATTTATTCTTTTAATTTTATTAGAATTCGAGTCGATTTCTAATTTTAAAAGGAATCCCCTGGATTTTTGGGTTTAATTCAGAATTTTGTGTTCTAGAATTTTATACATTCTATGAATTTCAATTGAAATCTAATTTCGTTGAAAGTTTTAATAGAATTCTAGAACTCTGAATCGAAATTTTATCGAATTCCATTCTATTTTATGGAATTTAGATTTCGGTAATGAAAAATAGAATTTAAAAGAGTAAACCAGAATTCTCATTATAGAAATCCGATTATAGCAATTATTCAATCCAATAGAAATTATTAACTAGAATTTCTAGAATTTCTGGAACTCTAAATTGAGATATCCCACCGCAAAAAAAAATACGGAAGTCGTTAACGTCAATTCCCGGAAATTGTAATAAATAATTGAAAATCATTTCTTAAAATGGCAACAATTAAAAAAACAGTAATTGTGGAGATCGCGATAATCGATATATTTTCTTTAAGAGTTAGTACGCAACGGATGTTCGTAATTTTTTTTAAGCACTCGAATTAATTTAATTTCCTAAATTTCAATGATTTAATTGGACTGGAGCCAAAGAGAAAGGAATGGCCAATCTGTATTCTCGAAGGTGAAAACCACCAGGAAGCCACGCTCCATTGATACTCCATTCGAACGACAGTTTCAGAAGAGAAATAATTATTTTAATTGCTGTCAGAAAATTGGATTCCAGATCACTTATCCTTTCAAAAATTCAAACAATCAAAATTAATCTTTAAAAAAAATAATTTCCTCAAAGAAATTTGAGACCAATTTACCTAAAACTATACTAGTTCAAAAAAAGATTGAATTCAATTGAGGGATGAAAATAATTTTTTTCCGAAAATCGATGAAAAAATGATTTTTTCTAAAATCGATGACAATGAATTTTTTTTGAAAATCGATGAAAATGATTTTTTTTGAAAATTCTCGGAAAAATTTTTGAATACACTTCTCAAATTATTTTTAAAGAAATGGTAAAATTGTGAAATAAAAATGTGAATCCTACCTTAGGCTTATCCCTCTTTCTCCTGATAATGAGTCCATCATTCTCGATATAATCCGGCACATCCTTCCTATTACTAAAGTTGAAAACCATTGTATTATTCTGCTGATTCCACGGTTTAGTATCCCACAGTCCACTGCCTGCCCCCTCCCCAGGTGAATTTTTTTTACCCTGAATTTCCTCAGCACTCTTGAGACTGACGACAACCTTCGTTGGCTGTTCAATATTCTTCACCCTATTAATCAAATTCTTCTCCATCTCCCGATTGCTGAGTGGCTGTGGCTGTTTGACCGATACCAATGGACGAATGATACCAATTTGTTTAGGAATGGGTGAGGAGACCTTCTTGCCACATTTCTGCTCCTTGGGCGCAGGGTTTGAGGTCCTAATCACTCCCAAACTGGATATGGCCCCAAGGGGTTTGTCCTCCTTCCAGGTCTCAGGCTCTTTCTCCCCCCTGAATCCCTCATGATTCACCTCCACATCCTCCAGACCCTCAGGAAAACTACCCCCAGTCTCTTTGACACCCTGAGGAGAATTTCCCCCTGTCTCCTTGACACCCTGACCCCCAGAGCAATTTTTCTCCATTTCCTCGAAGATCACCTCCACTTCACTCTCAAAAATTCCCCTCCTCTCCTCCTTATTCTCCCTATTCTCCCCCTTTTCCCCAATTTCCCCACTCTCCCCCTTGTCTCCATCGACCCCCTCACTCTCACAGTCTATCACCTCCTTGTCATCACCCTTGACCTCCTCCTCCGGATCTTCACCATCCCCAGAGGATTCCCTCTCGTCCTTGACCTCCAATTTCTCCTGACAGCCCTCACTCGTACCTCCCCCCGAATTTTTATCCCTCTTAGAACCTAAAGGACATAAGACTATTGGCACAGCTCTGGCAGTCCCCCTGGAGGGTTCAGGACTCGGTGAAAACCTGAATTTATTGGGCTCCGGTGACGACGACTTCTCAATTTTCTGGAACTTTTCAACAACCGACGAAACCGACTGAACAATCGTCTCACTCTCCACTCCATTTCTCTTCTCCAGGGTCTCACTACCCTCCAAACACTTGACAAAATCATCTCTCTTCTTGGAGACGACCTTGACTCCTCCATTCATGAAAGGCTTAGGTTGGAGGGGTGGTTTCTGAATTTTCTTGGCAGTTTGTGCCTTAAAAGTGTCATTAATCGTCTTAAATGTTGCGACCTTGACAGCAACATCACCTTTAGGCTTGAGCTTCTTGACAGAGCCCTCGAAGATCCTCATGGTGGTTTTAACGAGATCGGGTGGTGGTCTCTCGGTGTCAGCCAGCAGAGGTTTAATCCTCTTGGGTTTATTGAGAGGTTTTGGCCGATCCTTCAATCTACTCTCGATATTGACAGTCGTCCTGTCGATGAGGACGATGTGATCGTTGGAGTCCTTCTGGAATCCCATAAATTTCTGTTTCTCCTCCTCGACAGATTGATACCTCATGAGAGTCTCGACACTTCGTGCTCTTTTCATGGAGTCATTACCCCTGGAGGAGTTCCTGTACCTCTCATTCTTCACAGAAACTCCAGGACTCTTCTTGGTGAATTTCCTGGTGGTTTTGTCCCCCTCGTCGCTGTCTAGGAGATCCTCGAGACTCGCTGCCCTTCGAAATCTCTGAACTGAAGTTCTACTTTTGTTCATCTCCCTCAGGGTGAGATTTAGGTACTTGCTCTTGAGTTTGTTGACGATTCCAGGGCCATACTGAAGCTCCTCGGAGCTGTCACTCTCAAAATCCTCGAGGGGTGCTGTCATCCTGGTTCTGCAGATATCAGACTCCAGTCTTGGATAAATTTTTAGTGGCTTTTGAGGATCTAGATCGACAGATTGTGACTTGAGGGTCTTTGGTGTGTCCTCCAGAGGACATGAACCATTCGCCTCGAGGTGCATCTTGCACGCGACTGATTTACCACCGACAGATTGACTCTCCGTCAACTCACGAACTCCTGTGGCGCCTCCAGTGGAAATACTTTGGATTAAACCTGGAGTTGACTGAGCGTTGGCCTGTGACTCCGGGATATTTGGATTTGGTGGATCTGTTATGCCATTTTCCGAGTCTTTACCAGTATCTATCACCTCCACAGGTGCATCTGACAGATTGCAGGTACTCGAGATGCTGCTGGAGATGTTGGAGACACACCCTGGGGGTCTATTTTGCTGCTTTCGTCGCTGAATCAACTCCCTCTTCCACTGAGGAACTGGATCCCCTGTGTTTCCATTGATGGAAGCCATTGCTCGATTACTCAGGGGCTTGGAACCCTCTTTGTTGCCGGTTGGCACTTCCGTTTGTCAATCAAAAATTTTTTTCTCTTTCTCACGCTTTAACTTTTGGCATTTCACTCTTCAGGGGTCAACGTCGATGGGAACTCTGGAGCTATCAGACTGAGGGCTTTCATTATCACTTCACTTCACTGGGATTTTTATTCTTTTTGATGAATCTTGGAGGATTAGAGAACGTGTGAACCGGTTGTGACGAGACTAGCACTAGGTGTTTTCAGGCAAAATACTTTCCATTTAGTCGAGAGGACCCTTTCGCGACGATTCTCCCTCTCACAGCGTTTTGCCACCTTTCAGCCTGTTTTTTATATGTTTTTTTTTCGATCGACGGGTTTGAGGTAACCGGCAACATGTGTGTGTGGGGGAATCACTTGTCGTTGGGGCGACGCGATCGCGAAATGTCGTTTTGGCGCCTGCGCGTCACACCATTCTCGATTTGACGGATAGAAATGGGTGGGGAGGGGCCGCTTTTTGACGTTTTTATCCCTCCCCCTTTTTTTTTTATTGATTTTTTATGGTCACCGGGAAATTTCAAAAGTGCATTAATAAAAATCAATTTCTATCAAATTTTTCATTAAAAAATTCATTTGATTCCGAATAAATTCGTAATCATATAAAATAATTATAAAAACCCCAAGACTTGGCAATACAATTATGGAAAAATCAAATCAATTAAAAATCATTATTCCACAATAATTATTAAACTCAAAAAAAAATGGGAAGCAATTGATATTAAAATAAAAATGAATCCGAGTTGATACCTAACATTAATCAGACTGACATGCAGTAAAAAAAAAATTCTTATCATCCGAGACTACGGAAGCTTTGACTAATTAGTATTTATTACCTGTTGTACTCCGCACTTGAAACTATTTAACTCAACGCATGAAGTCATCAATAAATGCAGAAATACCAATTGCCATTTATTCCCCCGTACTTCTAAAATAAAATAAAAAAATAAATAGTGAATTGAATAATAAATTGAATTGAAGCGGTGAATTGAATTTTTTCTCCAGGTAGCGGTAACAGAAGTCAATAAAATATCTGAATGTTTTCGATGGAGATTTCATGAAGTTTCACCTTTGTATTCTCTTTCTCACGCACCAGAGTACTTATTTTATGTAAAACGGAGCATTTATGGATTGCGAGCGGCCATGATATTCGAAAAACACCGGATGTGGTATTACCCAGTACAAAAGAAGGTCTTGTCGCACTTATTCCACGAACAATTGACCGAAACCTGCGATTTTCAATGATTTAATCCCCATAATTTCTGTCATTACCGATTTCATTGATTTGTCAATATTTTAAATATGGCGGCCGCTCTGAATTTTATTGAATAATAATATTCCGGGGGAAATATTAAAAAAAAATATTGCAAGTCAAAATATTATAATGTAAATATATTCGCGAAAATATTAATCCGAAAAATGTTACAAGGATATCTTAATATTATTGCCATGACCCCGGGCCTTAATTCAATAATTTGTTTAAACATTTAAAGAATCAACATCATTAAGGCGATTCAAATGAGCCGCCAAACAATATGTGCTATTAAGACGACGCAGTGGGTTTTCCACTTTCTTGTGTTTCTGAAGGTTCAAACAAAAAAAGGAGAAGGTTTACTTGTGTGTTTTCTCTAAAAAAAACGATGGCCTTGATGTTCATCGACACCGAGGGCGAGTCGAGCCTCAAAAATGTTGAAAAACTAGTGGAAAGTGACGACGACGTGGATTTCGAGGGCTCAGGTACCTCCGGGTGTCATTACACCCCCCAAAACGATAATATTTCGAGGTTATGTCACTCCTAATGTTTCAGACCTCAACCCCTCGAGGATATCCCTGAAGAAGCCACGAGAACAGAAGAGCAAAACGTCAGCAGTGGACGACATCGATCTGGAGGAATTCGAGGCGGATATGGGCTGGAGTCGAACGACAAAGAAAGTCCTCTTTAAGAAGCCCCTGGGTGACGAGGAGCTGTCACACGTGGTGGATCCTCTGGAGAAGATCCTGAAGAAGTCAGCGATAACGCCAGGATTTGAGAAACTCACTCGTGTCCCTAGGTATGAGGTCACCAGGAGGCAGAGGAAAGCCAGAGCTGAGAGGGAGCGAGAGAGGAGCAAAGGGAAAAAGTGGTTCAATCTTCCAGCAACAGAGATGACTGATGAAGTCAAGCATGACCTTGAGATCATCCAGATGAGGTCTGTTCTGGATCCAAAACAGTTCTATAAGAAGAACGACGTCAAAGCTCTCCCCAAGTTCTTCCAGATTGGAAAAGTCCTGGACACTCCACTCGACTTTTACCACGGAAGACTCACCAAGAAACAGAGGAAACGCACGATTGTTGATGAACTCATGGCTGATGCTGATTTTGCTAAATATAATAAAAGAAAATACAAGGAGATTGTCGATGAGAAGAGGCAGATGCATTATAAGGCACATCGACATGCCAGAAAACTCAAGGGGAAGAGGAAATAATTTCCTGGAGGGTCTTGGGAGGAAAAGACTGGAATTGAGAGGAAATTAAAGGATTTTAGAAAATTATCTTGCGTTTTTTCTTTTGGATTTCCTGGATATATATAGAAATCTATATTTTTTATTTTTATTTTGGATATCCGTTGATGGGTACCTATCAAAATTAACAAAACACATTTTTCCGGAACATTACAAGAACAAGAAAAAAAAAGATAATGTATTCTCATGTTTGGGATATAATTGTCAGTTACGTAATTAATATTTTTATGAGAGGAATTTTTCAGTGCATTCCTCCTGTTATCTCGATCATCGCTCCATTGATATAAGAACTCCTGGGTGATGCCAGGAACAGCACCAGGTCAGCCACTTCCTCAGGTTTTCCAATTCTCCCGAGTGAAATTCTGTTTATGAACATTTGTTTCACTTCACTGGGGACTGTGCCGATAATGGGAGTCTCAATAATTCCTGGGAGAATTGCATTTACTCTCACTCCGAATCTATTTTATGATAAACAATTAATTACAACGATTTTCGTTATTTGAAATATTGAAAATAAAGAATAAACACCCAAAAATATAAATAATCATGAAAATATTGAATCTTCCGCCATTATATTCAATATAAAAATATGGAATATAATATATTTGTATTATATTTTCTCCATTAAATTTTCGAGTTACTGAAAAATTGAATTAAATTCGTTTTGTCTCATGTTTTTCCCCTCAATATTAAAAAATAAATCCCATACTTTCCGAATTCCATGGAGGCAGTCTTGGTGAGTGCCTGAACCCCAGCTTTCGATGCACTGTAATTGCTCTGCCCAATATTTCCAGTTTTCCCAACAATAGAGGATATATTAATTACCGAGGCACCTTCAGTCGAATTCGCTTCGATCATCGAATTGACGCATGCTTTGGTGACGAGAAAGGTTCCCTTAAGATTGACATCGAGGACTTTATCGAAATCATCCACAGGGAGTTTCAGGAGAAAATTGTCTCTGGTAATTCCTGCGGAGTTCACAACGATCGTTGGTACTCGAGAAAAATGATCGATCCCTTTTTTCAAGGCGTTGTTCACACTCGAAACATCAGATACATCGATTTCGAGAGCCAGGTGATCGGCTTTCAAATCCGAAATGGTTTCCTCTGCTGTTTTTATATTCTTATCTGCTGCTATCACACTTGCCCCCTCTTTTTCCAGGAGACGACACACAGCTCTTCCTATTCCACTGCCAGCTCCTGAATTTTGGGATGAAAATCGTTTTTTAAATTATTACATAATCGTTATTTGAATTTTTTTTCTTGTCCCAATGAAAGAATTATTATACGAGTATTAATTTAATTGTTTAATTCAATAGAAACAATGAGATTATGTATTGATAAGGAATGATAAGAGTAATTGATTCGCGAAATGAACGGAAAAAATAGAGCGACGAAGAGGAAGAAATATAAATAATTATTTTGGTTTTAGGATTCTTGATGATTTTTTTTACCGACCTGTGATGAAGGCCAGGTGGCCTTTGAGGATGTTGGACATCTCAATCCGTCAGGGTTTTATTTTGATTTTTGCTGGGAATCCAAACGCCACCTTCAATGCACTGAAGTAATGTCTCATGGGAAAGGGTCAAAGTCCATTTGTTACTGCTGATTATTATGAATGAATCTCCCTAGAGCAGAGGAATTTTAAAATGTACATCGCAGTGCCTAAACATTCATGGATCTTCGATTATCGAGAATTCAAATATCGCCGCCACTCCGCCAACAAAGAGCGGGTAATTATGAATTGATGGAAATTGACTGGCAAGTGGCAAAATTTTTTTAAATCAATAACCCGATAAATATCAAAATCAATAATCCAATAAAATTCATCGGATTTTCCTCGTCTTCCACATCTTACGACACCATAGAAAATCGATGGAGCGAATTATTAATTAGATGCACTGAAACAAATGAAAACAAATCATTACATCCATATATAATTAAAATTATTATTTTCGCGTTTTGTCATTATTTAATGACTCACCAAGCGTCAAGAATGGTGCGACCATTTTTCCGAATTTTTTCTAAACTAAAAAGAATGACAAAAGTTGAATTTTTTCCCATCAATTCCTTCGATAATTCGGCAAAAATAAAATTATTCATTGAAACCTGAATTTTGGCTGTAAGACGATTGTGGAGATCCTTAAAAAGTAATAATGAATATTAATATTGAATAGTTGACAGTTGGAATGGGAATCGGGAGGGACGTGAAGTTGGCAGTTGGCAATAGTGAAGTTAACGGAGTAGTTGCGCTAAAAAATCGACGCATTGGTCGAGGTTAATCGGCCAACAATGGTTGACGAAGTTGTAATATGGCCGTAATCGGCATATCAAAATTAAACCCGGTCAATGATAACCAAATATCGTCAATATCGAAGGGTCGGTGGTGTGTCGTCATCACTGACGATATTACGTTCAACGATCGTGGACTTGTTAAATATTGCGACGAGAAAAAGTCGCAATCAACAGGAGTTGTTGAATGCGTTATGTCTTCACCGTCACACCGCGGCAACAACCAACACGATGAGGGAGATAGTGATCCCGATGATCCTTACATTGATACTGATCCAGTCAGGTATGAGTTACGAAATATTCAAAATGTCATACACGTGACAAGACAGAATATCGATGCGTTGAACAGCCGTTTCGCCGCATTCCAGCATCCACCCTCTATATATCTGACTGAGCATCAGGAATTAACAAGTAAACTACGCGAATTGGAATCTAAAGAGCACAAGCTCAATGAATTAATCAATTCGGCAAGTTGTGGTACGTCAGGTTGTGATGATTTGCAATTGTCCGTGCGGTACAAGTGCCCGAGAACACCTCTCAAATCTTTACTCAGGGCACACTTGCCCAATCAGCAGAGAACAAGTGTACAGGTAATTTACATTCTATCTACTAATTTTTCTTTTTTTTCTATCTATTTTTCTTCGCCATTGCCTTCTTTTGTTTGTACATTATTCATTTTTTAAAATAAAAATAAATCGGGATTGAGTGGATCCCATATTATTAGTTCATGAAATATTAATTGATTGATGTCAGAATTATGCAATGAGAATTATCAGATTTTTAATTTAATTCTTCAAGAATTTCTCTTTCTAATAATAATAAAAAATGTAATTTCGTAACCGTTCCAAAAAATCCACTCCAACAAATACAATTATAAAAATATAATCCTAAATGTTAATAAAAAATAATATTTTTTATAATAAAAAAAATATTAATCCCCATAAATGTTCAATTGAGAATGAATTTCACAAAGCATTGAAAAAATTTCATTTCACTTCACGAATTTTTTCTCCAAACCGTAAAAAATAGAGAATAATTCACCTTTGAAAAGTGCATGACCCTTTTAACCGTAATGTTATGTCCCCAGGTCCGAGAGGGAATGGCCCTGCGTGATGCCCTAGCAAAAGCAATGAAACTCCGTAACTTAACAACCGAAATGTGTGTGGTGTACATAGTGGATCCAGACGGTTCAAAGCACCCAATCCCCTGGGACACAGACATATCGTCCCTGGAGTGCGACGAGATATCAGTGGAGATCTCCGACAAATTTCCAATAACAACTTCAATATCCCACAACTTCGTGAGAAAAACATTTTTCTCCCTGGCATTCTGCGAGTGCTGCAGAAAGCTGTTATTCCAGGGATTTTACTGTCGTACATGCAACTACAGATTTCACCAGCGATGCGCAGGGGGTGTACCAGCTCTGTGCCACCAAGTGAGAATGCAGGACGCCTACTACAAGGCACTCCTTGCCCACAATCCAGAGAGAAGCGCTGGAATTCTCCAGCTACCTCCAGGATACGCCCTGAGCAGTAGTATGTCCCCATCGTTGGCCCAATCACGTCAGAAACACCCGAGAACTCTAGCCCAGCACGACAGATCCAGCTCAGCCCCAAATGTCTGCTTCAACATGGTTAAACCTGGCAGTGAGCCCATCACAGTCGATGATTACTCAAGATCCCAGAGTCTGAGTCGTCCAGTGGAATCAGGCCAATCACCAGTGTCCCCCAGCTGTTCACCAACGAAACACAGTCAATCGACTCAAGCCAGTCCCACCAGTACTCTACGACCAAAACGCCCCAGGGCAAAATCAGCTGACGAATCATCGAAGAATCTCCTTGCACCCAGAGAATCCATCGAGGATTGGGAAATACCAGCTGATGAGATTCTCGTTGGTCCAAGAATTGGCTCTGGCTCATTTGGAACTGTCTACAAGGCACACTGGCATGGACCAGTCGCTGTCAAAACTCTAAACGTCAAAATTCCCACCCCAGCACAGCTACAGGCTTTCAAGAACGAAGTGGCTGTCCTCAGGAAAACACGTCACGTTAATATCCTCCTGTTCATGGGTTGCGTCAGTAAACCACAGCTCGCTATTGTCACCCAGTGGTGCGAGGGATCCTCTCTATATAAACATCTTCATGTTTTTGAATCGAAATTTGAGCTGCTCACGCTCATTGAAATTGGCAGACAGACAGCACAGGGAATGGATTATCTTCATGCCAAGAATATCATTCACAGGGATTTGAAGAGTAATAATATATTTCTGCATGATGATTTGACTGTGAAAATTGGAGATTTTGGATTGGCAACTGCCAAGACTCGATGGTCTGGATCGCAGCAGTTTCATCAGCCAACTGGATCGATTCTTTGGATGGCACCTGAGGTTATCAGAATGCAGGAGGAAAATCCGTACGGCTTTCAGTCTGATGTTTATGCGTTTGGGGTTGTTTTATTTGAACTTCTTGCTGGACAGCTGCCCTATTCGAATATTAATAATAAGGACCAAATACTGTTTATGGTGGGGAGGGGGTACTTAAGACCTGATTTGAATAAACTCAGGTCTGATACGCCCAAGGTACTCAAGAGACTCACTGAGGACTGCACCAAGTTCTCCAGAGAGGACAGACCCATTTTCAGGCAAATTCACGCCAGTCTTGAGGGACTTATCAGGGGACTACCCAAAATCACAAGGTCCACGTCTGAACCTAATCTTAATAGGACTCAGCTGCAGTCTGATGACTTTCTTTATGCCTGCGCATCTCCCAAGACTCCTGTTAACGTTCAGTTCGGCGCATTTCCCTTTTATCCCATTGGGGGAAATATTTAAGCTTTATTGTTATTTTTTTTTTTTTTTTCAAGGCGAACAGCTGGGGAAATTCAATGGAGATTTTGTGATGCATGTCTGCTGCGGTTTTTGGGAGACTGCGATAATTTTTCTCTTTATTTTATTCTTTTTTACCGGCGATTTATCGGCTTGGAATTTTTTTGGAAAAAATTGTCCCAGGGAAATTCTCCGGTTCTGGAAAATCGGAGCTTCTGTGTTCTAGATTTTTTTGGTGGAAGGAAAATTAACATCTGTTGAATGAATGAGTGGAAAAAAATTGTTGATGGAAATTGTTGGAAGGGAGATGGGATTTTTGGAGAAATTTTCATCGATGGAATTTTTTATTTCGTTTTGGCGATCGAAATCATGTGGGAATTGTATTTTTTTTTCTGTCTGTTTGCCTGTTATTCTGATTCTTATTCGCGTTTTCGGTCTTGAATTTTTGATTAGACGATTTTATGAACGTGCAAGCATCATGTTCAAGAATTTTAGTGTTAAAAATTGAATGAATGAAATTTCGAATGGATTACCAATGGAATTGTCTCATTTCCACACTCGTACTGTATTTATTGTTACTTTAATTTTACGTATCACTCGTCTTGTTTCTTCTAAAAAAAATTCATGTCCATGAATTTCCTGATTTGATGAACTTTCAATTTCATATTTAAGTGATTTAGTGTAAAAATAGTATAATATAATCAGAGAAATCCATTTTCTTGAGAAAAAAAAAAATTCAAATAGAAGGAAAAAATAAAATCTATTGAATTTTTTGCACGCGATAAAATCTCAGCCCCTGGGAAATTCATCAAATTGCATCCGAAACATTATCTTCGTGTACATAAAATATTAAAGTGCTCGTTGATTTTTCACTTTCCAATCTTTCGTTTCTGCTGAAGGGAGAGGGATCCTTCAAAGGATATAAATAATAAATATACTCACTTTCTAGCAGTAACAGCATTCAATAAGGAACGAGAATCGTTTACTTGTGATATAATGTTATTCTGAAAAAATACATCAAAGTTCCTGGTCTCGATAATGATTTATCTTCGTGTTCTTCATTTCTCTCTGCTTCGTTGTGAGAAATAGTCGGAGTGACGTTGTAACCAGATGATGTAGATTTTTTTACCCAGTCGGTTTAATAAATTCTGTGAAAATATCTGCATATTCCACTAATGTTTATCGTTATAAAAAATGTCAGTTCGTGGGGGTGGGAGAGGGGATGAAATAATAGCACCCAGTGGAAAAGGGGAAAAGCTAAAAATCAATTGCTCTCTCTTATATCTCTATTCCTTTTTCCACTGAACTGTTGTGTATAAAAAATTCAATAGAAAAATCTAATTATTTTTCAAAAGTTAAAGGAATTTATGAATTTTCATTCAATTTTCCTCCCATTTCCTCAGAAATTTCAGATTTAATTCTATATTTTATTATTATTATAGGAAAAATTCTTGATGTATTTTCGGAAAAGTCTGACGTAAAAATCAAAATCTAGTTTCATTTGTTAAATAAAATATCCGATTGACGGGAATTTTTCTATTGAATTTTTGAATATTTATGGATTCACTGAACAGCCGATATGTGATTATTTTGTTAATTACTGAGATATTTTCCCACGAGTATGTGTATATATATATGTAATATCATAAGAATGCGGGATATATATACATATATGAATATTCAGGAATAGTTTTTCGACAATAGAACGAAATATAAAAATCATGAGGATGTGGAGACACTATTCAATTTAATTGATAACTCCAGCGATTATTATTTATCGTAACTCTTTTTTTTTTTAGTCGATTGTCACAACATAGAAGGCCTAATGATATCATAATGGGTTATTAATAAGATTAACATTAATGAGAGAATAAAGGAAAGGTAATGATCGAAAAAGTGAGAAATTTCATTCCCATTTTTTTCTTATTTATTTATTTATGTAGAGTAATTTTTCCACTCGATCACTTTTGGGCCCTGTCGAGCATGAGGTACTTAAAGAATCGAGGATTATCCTCGCAGCGATTATGGGCCAGGATTTAACAACGGAAGATTATTCTTATTGTATTTAACATGATTAGAAATAAAATTCAATTGATCTTATGGTTTTTGAAAATTATTTACTCTCAGTTCCCACCCGCCATTTTCTCATTTATCAAATAGGGGGAATTATCCATTTTCTAAATAAAATTATGAGTCTTAATGACGAAATTTAATTAATTATTCATTTATTTTATTTATTTATTTTATTTATTTATTGAATTTTCAGATAAATGATATTTTGAGGGATTTGATTTTGAAAATAGAGAAATGGATTTATCAATATTTTAATCAAAAAATCATTCGACATCTTAATATTTAATAAATATAATTTTTAATAACAAAAATCCAGAAATAGTTTCAACTCTGAAAATCGCAGTTTTGGAAAATGGAAAGTCAAAAAATTTTGAAATAAATGTGAAATGAAAATGAAAAATTCTGGATATTTTCCACGTGCAATGAATCCTCATCGACCTCCACTTCCTGCAGGGCTTATCTCCTCGGTAAGTACATTATCAGTACGAGAAAGCCCATAACATATTATCAAATAAAAAAAAAGGGGGTAACGCATGCGTACAAAGGAATCCAGGCGCCACTTGCAATTTCACCAGTCGATGTGGAACCTCCGAGGAGTGAGGGTGTGAATTTAAATTCCAAGTCTCCAATATCTCCAGAAGCCCAGATGACAATCTGGAGCAAAAACCCGGAGGAAAAATCTGAATTTTTCTTCTGACAGAACCCCATCCCCGGGGAATTCCCCATTTCCCTCAGATATCAATCAATTTCAATAAATCAAGGCGTCCTCGTTTGGCTTGTGATGTTGATTCATTATTATGTGAATAGTCAACCGATAATTGGATGACACCAGCATGTGGATCTTTTTGCAAATCAAGTGTTGAGTGACTGAACAAAACGTGGGATTTTACTCTTGTGATTCATCGAATAGGTCAGTCTGAAAAATTAATTTAATTTAATTATTTTCCATTAATTAATGGAATATTTATTGGCGCGTTCATCTCGATTATTTTATTTTTCCAGTAATTTTAATTGGTACTTATGTTAATTGGGGTTATGCAGGGGTAATATTGGGATGATTTTATTTATAATTGTTGTTGTAAAAATTCAAACTGTCGATTGTCTTTCTCGGATGACAGAATGACTGTCTGAAATGATAAGTGACTTGTTGGTAATCATTAGCAGATTAAATGTCAAATTGAGGATTCGAAAAATAATCATTTGTTTATAATTGTTTAACGACGTTATGAATTCAGTATAAAAAAACAATTGGAGTTTTAATTCCATTCATTTGCATTATTTACGTTTTTTTTTTATTTCTTGAAAATGCTGAATACTTCATTTGTCTATTTATATTTGTTTAAACATTTATGCATGTAGAAAATTGAGAATGCAATAATTTTTAATGGCTGCCCATATTTTTAATAACAATTGAGAAAAAATGGAAAGATTTTTCGTTTTTTATGAAGAAGTCATTTGTTTATTGAATTCTTTGTTTTTTTATGAGATTCACGGAAATTCTTCGGCGTGTTGTTTATTGTTGTTTATTTATTGGGTTTTGCAATCTGAATTTTTTTATTATTTCTGAAAAAAGAAAGGACTTGGGAATTCTTTTTTCATTCTTTTTGGTGTCAGGAGGAAAATTTTTATTGTCTCAGATGTATTTAGTTAAAAAATAATTTTTTTTCCCACTTTGTTTGCAGACAGACATTTCGACCTTCTCTCTGAAGGATAAAAATCTCTCTCGAGTTTTTTAATTAACAAAACTCCCCTGAATTATAAATTAAAATTATTTTTTTTTGTAGAATTCTCTGGGAAATTATTGCTTCACCTTTTACTTCACCTAGGTATGTCCATCAATTCCACTGAGAGATGATTAGGATGATTGATTTTAAAAATTCATTGGGGATCGGCGTGAATTAATAAATTAACAACAATATCACGTGATGCAGACCTCGAACTAATCGATTAAATCCGCATTAATCCTCATTTGTTGACATTGACACGTGCCACCGTCTGATTTTTCGTATCACGCGAATTGATGAGAGGACTAATAATTAAATCTAATTAATTAACTGTCCTTAATCAGGCATTAATTAGGATTTTCTAAAAATAATTCTCTCTGTATAAAAATTCTAGATTTTGAAAAAGCAAATATTTTATAATAATTTATAATGAATGATTGAATTTTCAAATGAATTTTTGTTGATCAAATTTCCGAAATACTTTTTCAAACATTTATCTATTTTTTAAACAATCAATTGTTGTTTGAATTCACAGAGAGCTCCTGCCTGTTGACTGATTGATTGATCTCTGAAACCCGAGACAGCGATGGAATCTAAATCGAATCCCCTGGAATCTCAAGAATGATTGGAATACCCTAAACCCAATACTCACCCGATCATCTTAACAGACGTATAAATTTAACTCCACGTCGTCCTCGACTTTTCCCGAATACTCGGATCTCTCGTTTTGAGTCCACGTCATTGCCAGTTTATTTTAAGAATTTGGAGCGACGAGTTGTACCGCTGCTTCCAGACGTTAAATTCTTAGGCACTGACCAGGCATGTGGCAATAATTGCATCCTCTACAGGTGATCCTGTGGAACTTCCAAGAGATTTCCCGGAGGATTTTTCCAAACTAGGAGTTGGATCCTCCGAAAAATGAAAATTCGACGGCAATTTCACGTCTAGAGGAGAACCATCAGCTGGAAGTCCACCTGTCATGGGGTAGATGTCCTGGAGATTGTCATTCAGATCAGCTGATCACTCCAGAGATCACTCCAGAGTGCACCAGAAAATGGAGGACCCCAGGGGATCGACGTCAGACCTGAAGACAGTCTTCACTGCGCATTATAAATCCTCTGATTGCTGATCGAAACTCAAGGGCAATTCGAGTTCAATTGCTGATTAATTTTAATTGCAAATTCGGAAATAGTGATTGGTGATTTTATCGATGTGATTGATTTGGGGAGAATGTGGAGTTTTTAATGATGAGGGGTTGATGTTCTGGTGGAGAATGTGACTTTAGGATGTGGTGAGGACTCTGAGGGGATCCGGGGATTCTGGGGAGTGAGGGGCAGAATGGGTTGTGGCCAGAGCAAAATTGGGAATATTTATGCGAAAAATAGGAAGAATAAGGACGGGGGAAAGAAGAGCGGTGACTCCATAGGTGAGTCTATTGATTTTTACAGTTTTTTTTGGTGATTGGTGGAAATTTTCGGAAAATCTTATTTCTTTATTTATTTATTTTTTATTATTTATTCCTTTGACCTTGCAAAAATTCATTGCATTCATTGATTTTTGGAATTCTTTGGATTCAGAAATTTTTCGAATTCCAATTAATAAATAATAATAATAAACAATTCTGAAGTAATATGAAAATATTAGGAATAATATCGAAGAAAAATGCGAATTAAATTAAAAAATAATTTTCTGAAATTTTTCTGGAAAATTCAAGAAATAGAATTCTCTGGTAAATTTTCCCATGAAAATATTCTCATAGTGCAACCGTCGACTGCCGATGACTCCGTCTTCTGATTCCTCTCATTCTCAAGGTCAAATAAATATTTATTACCAGGAGACATTCGATGTGCCTCTTTATTCGCGATTTGCGTCACGCTTGTTTTTTTTTTCGTATCACCGTGTTATCGAGTACCAGAAGTCGATCGAGTGATGTCGATAAGATTTATCGGTTATCACAGGTTTCTTTTTAAAACTGAATTATCAGTTCGTGCCGAATGTGATTGACATGGTCGGCGCCGATATTGCGATATTTCGGTTCAAATTTAGTGAGTCGTCTTGTCGGGACTAGAGATCTTTGAATTATACGCATCTGCGAGCCTAGAGTACGTGGCGGGGGACACGTACGCCTTTTATGGTGGAAAATCTTTATACCAGAAAAATAGGTCATGTCAAAAAACGAAAAAAAAATACTTACTCTGAACATAAAAATCGGTTACATAAAAATCGGTTACATAAAAAAAATATATATTTGATATATTCATATCAGAGATAATTATTAGCACATATTTTTGCCGGAAGGAAAATGCATTTCCCAGGATTTTCCCAGATTTTCAAAAACAAATTCGAATTGCCTCAAAACCTCTGAAAAAAAAGGCTCAATTTTTTCGAGTGTGAAAAAAGAAAAAAACATGAAAAAAAGGAAAATTACTGGTAAATTTTTCCGAAATTTTCCGGGAAAAACCACCGAATTTTCTCTAGACATTTCGAAATTTGCATTTGCATTTGCATTTGCATCCATCAAAAACATTCGTATGCCCATCCAAACCCCAATTATCTCCCATTTTTCCAGAAATCACCCCCCAATTTTCCCTGCTGCGCGCGCATGTTGTTTACACTAAAGCCGGTTTTTCCAAATATATAAATATACATCTGCATGCGCAGCATTGTCAGTGCAAGTGTCCTGCCCGCGCATGTAGCAGATTATAATTTACGCTGCACAGAAATGCGCGCGCAGCTATATACAGTGGACCTATCAGCGGCGGAGGTGTGAACGGCGCGTGCGCAGTGCTCGGACCGTTGGCAGATCGGAGGAAAGAAAAATAGAGGAGTCATTCGGAAATATAATCTGGAAAAACGGCTGGCCCGATTTTCTTTTTTCTTTTTTAGTGGGGTGGGGGGGGACCGCGTTGGGACCGATATTATTGCACGCGGTAGTACGTGAGATCGTGGCGTGGCGCCTCCTGGCCTTTTATTATCTTGAGTCGTGGGGATTTGGCGTACGTGATCACCTCCATGGACTTATAAATACGTTTCTACGGGTACGTATCGGGTTTAGTCGTCGAGGATCTCTCGATCAATCAGCTGTGGAATTTACGACGGAATCCCGTGGTTCTTTTTTTTCTGTGGAGTGAAAGGTTTTTGGGACTCTGCTACTAATCGGATTTTAAGTTGGCGAACTTCAAGAAAAAATTGGAGGCCAGGATGTGGTTGAAGATATTGCGACAGAATATTATTCAACTGGCGCGACGAACCAAAGGTGCATTTTTACATTAAAAAATCAATTTTCAATTTTTTAAATTATTATTTCGAGAATATCGAATGTGAGGAGTTGAAGTTTTGATTGGGGCCTGAAGATTCTAAATGTCTGAGAAATTCAGGGGAATTTTGAGGAAACGTTCAAGATTTTTTTTTGCTCAGAATTAATTAATTTTTTTCATGTTAGAGACAAATTTAATTTGAATTATAATCTAAAACAATTTCAATTGCGAAAAAATGAATATTTCATAGACAAATCACTAAAATTTCAATTTTCCACTCATCAAAAAAAAAAAACCCCAAATTGTTCTCAAAATAAACAATTACTAATTTCTAATTTCACTAAAAAAAATAATTTCTGTAAAAAAATTCACCACAGAATGCCCATAAAAAATGAGCATTAAAAATATGTAGATTCCTCTAAAATTATTCAATTGCCAGAGACAAGTGTTTTTTCCGCCTTAAATTTCATTCAATCCCCAAATAATTTCCGTCCTTGAAGACGTAATTCACACTCGCCCCAATAATCCCCATTACTTCAATTACCCGTAAATCTGCACTAATAACAAAATGAGAAGTGATACATAACATCAAGTACACAAGTACGTCACAGGATTGTAGAGAACAGAAATAAAAGACTCGCCCAATTCCTCAATTTGAATTTGTAATGATTGCATGAGTCAACGTCGTTCGTCAGAATTTTTCAACGTCAACGCAAAAAATCATTTCCCTCTATTTCGCTGGCAAATTCTTATCTGTTCCATGGCGAATAGGAATTTAATGACTTCCAGAGCAATTACTCGTCTTGCATTAGAGTTTGAAGATGATAAGATCCTCTTTATGCCTGATACAGTCACGAATTATATTTAGATATATTTTCGATTGACGTCAGTGGAAACGTGTCACTTTCGCATTGTTTCACGATTGTTAACCTCGTGCTGTGAAAAATTATTACAATTGCCAATTTCATTTTTTTATACTAAAAAATCGGTGAATTTTAACTGCAAATATTCCCATCCATTTATTTCTGTCCAGTGAATTTTAATATTATTCATTATTTATTTTTTATACATCATTTATTATTTATTGTCTGTCATCATTCCAATTATTTATTGCTACTGATTTTTTTATTTTTGTACGGTTTTTTCTATTTTAATTATCACTCATTTTGTTTTATTCGTGGTAAATTTGTTTATCAGAATTTTTATCTCAGTTCAGGGACAGGTGAGATTTTGGGGGAAAGGAATTGGATTTCACAAGGGCATGTACTGAAAATCCACGCAGTATCTTATGTACTACGTGTTATATACAATAATTCAACAGATGACGAACTGTCAACATCAATCTTCCTTTTATTTTCAGTTCTAGTAAAAATTGATGACAAAGTTTATTCGAGACTAATGAAATATCATTTTTACTGATGAATACATTTGTTGAATTTATTGTTGTTAAATAAAACTGATAGTCAGTTCGAAATATTTTTCATTTCAAATGAAAAATATTGAAACTTCAAATTAAAGTTTCAAATCTGAATATTTTCAAAGTGTCCTGGAGATATAGAGCATTTGTTTCTCATTTTTTTATTATATATTCAGATTTTATTTAGATGAACAGAATAATAAATTATATATTATTATTATTATTATCCGATTTTTATCGGAAACTTCCGGTTTGTCTTTCGAAAATTTTTATCCCGTCATTGGAAATTCTGAATTTCGCGGAAAACCTGTGACTCATGCAAATATTAATTCCATCATTCGCTGAAAATTTATGAAAAACAAGGAAAATCGCGCTGATTATTGAGGATTCATGGAAAATTCAGAATTGAAAAATCGTCCCCTGAATGTAAAAATCTCTAAATTCCAATGTACGAATATTTTTTTATTTAAAAAACCGCATTTTTTTCATTTTTCCATGGAAATTTTGGATTTTTAATTCTGATAAGCGAAGAATTTTCCGGAAAAATCGACATTTTGGAGAAAACCAGAAAATTCACGATTATGTGGATTTTTATTTATTTTTTATAAATCGGGAAAATATGTGGAATATATTTTTCGTGTTTTTCTTGAAGTTACAGGAATATACCGGAAATTACGCCTTTCTTGTTTATCTTCTCGCTTTTCTTATCTATATTTTCTCTTATTTTTAGGACCGGTGAGACATGTGTTGTCTGTTACGTTCTTGTTTCTTGAATGTCGCATTTCGCAGCAATTAACGCAATTCGTCAAGGTTTATGTACTATTTCTGAAGATGGAGGTAGCATTGGGGTATTAATGCATTTTCTACACTCGTCAATTGACGCTGATTCGTTTTCCAATTGATAGTTCACCTCCAAGACTCCGAAAATGGAAATGAAAATAAAAAGACGGACGACTAAATTCAAAATTCCTGAGGCTTTCAATAAAAATTCCGGGAATCGTGAGAGAATTTCCATTATTTTTCTGCGGTCACTCGATTCAATTATTAATTTTGCATTGTTCAAGTTTTATTAATAATTAATTTCAATTCCTGGAGAATATTTTCAACAGACGAAGTTTCATTTTTTGTAATAATTTTTTTTTTCAATTCTTTTTAATTTCGATTTCTTTAAAATTCCACTAGAAATTTCCCAAAACTTTTATTTTTCAAAATCTCAAAATTTTTCTGTTCAATTTTCTATTTAATTTGAATTAATTTCGATTGTTTAATTCTCTTTTTTTATTAAAAATGGCTCAGACGTATTTCCATTCACGAAAATTAAATTTCCGGACATTATTATATCCTGACGGAGTTAAAAATTGAATGTCAAATGTGGAAGTAAAAAAAGGTGAACTCTCAATAAATAAACATCGCCAGCTCACGTCTCAGGTATTTCGAAGTCGCCGGATATTTTTTGAACGGTTTTTAATTAAAGTACCTGATGGAACTGCGACCAACGAAACCTGTCTTATTTTTCAGTTGCGCAGATAGCTTTCTATTCTTCAATCATTTTTTTATTTCAATCCGCAATTTTTTCGCGATTTTCACATTCATATTCACATTTATTTTGCTATTAATTGACAATCACAAATTATTAGAAAATGAAATATTAACGAAATTCAATTCTCCATTCATTTTGCAATTGCAATAAATTGTTTTAAAAAATTTTTTATTTGAAAAACATTATCACTCATACAAATTAAAAGATGCGGTAATGAACTAATTGCGATAAAATCTTAATTAATCAGTCCGTTACTCTCCATTAAGATTTCATTATATTTTTATTAACAAAAATCTTGCAAAAGTCTCCCCAATGATGAAAATTCACAGAAATTATAAATTATAAATAATATATTATTATTAAAATTGTAGAAAAATTGTAAATCTCTTATCAAATTCAATCTCCAATCGATGCATTAAAAAAAAATCATTTTTCATTGTTTACCGATATTACAAATGAAGTATAAAAAAATGATTGAAGCCCAAACAATTAGAATTTCAATCCCATTCGATCATGCGCATTATTATCATCCATTTATTGCATTATTCACATTTTTCTATCTTCAGATAAAGCCACAACAATGACCCAATTAAAAAATCCATATCCCCCCCAATTCCGA